AACTGATGGCTCCTGTCCTGCTCCACAGTCTGGGTGGCACCTGTCTGGGTCTGAGTTAAAGTTCCAGTGATGGTCTCACTTGTCAGGTGGGCTCTGTCCTGTTCCCTGGTCTGCAACTGCCTCTCCGCCCTGCTTTCTCTGGCTTGAGGACTCTTGTCTTCTCGCACTCTCTGGGTCTGCTCCACGTGGTCCCTTGCTTGTGTCAGCTGGCTGGCTCCCTCCCGTCTCTGAGACTCAGACTGCCTGTCCTGGTGACTGACCTGAGCAGAGCTGATGTCCTGACCCTGGGTCTGAGGCCCAGGCCCACTCTGCCCCGTGGAAGCCTGCTCACTCTGTGCACCGTGGCTCCCCGCCTGGTCCTGTCCTTTCCCAGCCGTCCCCACCGCAGTGCTACCTCTCTGTCCTTCCCCTGGCTCTTGTGAGGCCGCAGAGGGGCGGCTTCCAGACTCTTGAGATCCACAAGCTCCCTCAGGACTCTCACTCAGGGTCTTGAAACAGGCCTGGGCGACTTTGAACACCAAGACCAAGAATTCCTTGAAGTCCACAGTCCCTGTGTCGTCTTCATCCAGCAGGCGCAGGACTTCATCCACAGTGGCCGGATCATGGGGCTTCTGGGGAGAGGATGAGGTGAGATCAGCATCCCGCCCCCGAGGAGTCAGGCCGGTCTGTCAGCTTCCAGGCTTCCCACCCTGAGCCTGGGAGCTCGGTGCCCCCACCCTGCACACAAGTCCTGCTACAGCAGCATCCACCCGAAATCACCTTCATTCAGCCCGGCCTCTCCCCGCAAGTGTAGAAGCTCACTTTGTTTTGTATCCTCTGTGTCTAGCCCAGTTTCTGGCCTACAGGAGAACTGGATAAAGATTCAATGAAGAATGAACAAATGCGCACATAGTGACTCTTTGGGCTGTCCCCGGCCCCAGCCCCTGGCATGGAGGCCGTATTTTCTCCAGCGAGCCCAACACCAAGAAAAGCACAGTAGGAACACAGCCCCGTGGGCATCTGTGACATCCACACTGAGGCGCAGCTGTTTTGCTGAGATTGGGGGGGGGGCCTGGTGAGATGCACTCAGAGGCAGCATCCTGCTGTGCCCACACACATCCCCGCCCCCAAGACTTTCACCATCCTGGTTGCTTCAGCTGCAAACCAAAGGCAGGGAAAGGCAGGGAGGTGCATCAAGGCCCAGGGTCTGGCTTAGCCAGGGAGGGGCTCCCAGAGCCTCCCCCAGCCACTAACCACCTGCTCTCCAAAACCCCATTTCTGATGAGCCCACTCAGCTAATACTTCTGAGCAACTGCTTTGAGCAACTGCTTCTCGTGAGTGCTTATTAACGGGTGATCAAACTTCTGGTACCCATAGGAGTGGTCGCCGCATCAGATTTAAGAAGCAGCAGAAAGTAGCAGTTATTTCCATTTCTGAAGCAGTCCGAGGCTCTGTTCCTCCCTGAGCTGTCCCTTTGGTGTCCTCTTACCTCGTCTCCAAATTAGAATTAACTGAAGTCAAGGTATTTCCTCTAAGGACCAGGCCTGTCAACTCCTGTGACCCTCTCTGCTCCATCTCCCCCTCCTCTGCCTGCGCAGCCCCGTTAGGACGCTGGGGCCCTGAGGCCCTGAGGCCAGCACTTGGTTCTCCCCCGCCGCCTGCCCCTCCCCCGCCGCCTGCCCCTCCCCCGCCGCCACCTACCACGATGACGTCGGCAAACTCCCGCTCCACGAGCCGCTTCAGCTCCCCCCGGGTGAGCACCTGGCAGGCGCCCTCGGTCCTGGCGTAGCGCCCAAAGGCTTCAATGATCCCAGCGATGTTTCGCAGCAACTGAGGCATCTTTGAGTCAAGCTGGAGAAAGAGGAAAAGCCCCCCTGGGGCGTAATCAGCCTCAGCTGTTCCCCAGGGAGCGCCCAGCTCCTAAGGCCTTTCCCTGCACACTCGGCCGCCTGGCGCCGCTCTGCTGGGTCTTCTCCGCCTTCCTTTCCGGCACGATGCGGTTTATGAGTGGGACCGGGGAGGACTTCTGTGGGGGCCCCCAGCGTCGCCCTGGCACGTGAGCTGGGTGGATTGCTTGGTCTCCCCGTGCCTCGGTTTACTCACTGTGAAGTGTAGGTGGTACTGGTATTTATTTTATTGGATTATTGTAAAGATTAAAAGAGAGAATTCATAGAAAACACTTGGCAGAAGCTGGCTTATACCAAGTGCTGGCTTTTACCTCTCATCAGTACCCACGTGTGACTTGTGTGCATCTGTGTACACTCTGCTGCTCACAAGCACTTCTGTGTGCATCATCTCTTGTAACCCTTACTATTTCCAGTTTTTCATAGGTGAGGAGATAGGCTCAGAAAAGACAGGTTGTTTGCCCAAGGCCACACAGCTTATAAGAAACCAAGAAATCCTGGAACCCAAATGCAGTGAGCCTTCGAGATGGTACCCTGCAGACGGGGCAATGCCTTTGCCTGTCACAGGGGTTAGGGACCCCCTGGGAACAGCAGCGGGCAGTAAGTACATACGCAGGGTAACCCTGGCCTCGGGTGGGGAACCCCAGAGCCCAGCTCTGCCCTTTCTGGCTTCCTTTTCGGAGGATGTTCAGGAAGAGGCTGGGCTACCAGCTGCTGGAGATGCTGAGGAGGGCGTACCTTCCCTGGTGGGAGGCCTTCCAGTTCTGAGAGTCTGGGTTTCTCTGACTGTGCCCTCTGTCCTCAGTGCTAGGACCTCGGGGGAGGCCAGCTGCCCACAGCTGCGTAGCTCCTCCAAACCCCTGGCCCTGGCGGCCTGTGAGGAGAGGTTCCCAACTGAAGGGAGGTGTTCTCTTTCCCATTAGTCAGGGGTCTGGGCACAGGTTGAAGTGAGTCCTGGATATGGCTGGATGGGCAAGAGGCAAAGAGATGTGGAGATTCATTGAGCACAAGCCTTGGAGAGACCAAAGGAGATGACTGTCAGAGACTGTAGGGTCCAAGTGCACTGGGGGTAAGGAGAGCTGCGGAAGCTGGAACACCGAGGACGGGAGTATGGGGAACAGGGCACACAGAGAGGGAGTGTGATTAAGGAACCAAGAGAGTAAAGAGAGGGAGGGGCATCGGTGCTAGAGAAAGCGGGTCAGAGTGGCCAGAGGATTTGGAGGGTTGCAGACCTAGGGGGCTCTTCAGGGGGTGTCCTTGCTACCATTTGGTGGCCAAAATATTTTCAGGCAGACTTTGCTTTTTTGTGCACATCAAGGTACAAAATCAGAATATTGTGCCTCAACGGAAACATGAAAAGCTCTTGGTTTCTTGTTTTTGTTTTTTCCTTGTGGCAAACCTTAGCCACTGACCTACAAACAGTAAAAATAATAAGATGACCTTTCAGTTACCCTTCAAACTCCTTGGAATAAATGCACGAACTCATCTTACCTAAATATGGCCCTGGCGGGGGGCCACCATGTAAGCCCCTCCCTCCAGAAGAAGGCTTAACCCCATTGCTGGGTTGGCAGAAGTAATCTGACTCTGGTTTCACAGACCCTGAGTACCACAAAGAGGTTTACAGAACCTTAAGAACAAGAGACCTTTGCTGATCCAGGAAGGCCCGTGGGGTTCTGTTACTACTGCCAACACGGCCTCCCGGCGAGAGAAGCTGCTACGGGACCAACCGCAGGGGAGGAGGAGAGAGCCCGGCTGCTGCAGGAGAGCCCCTGGTTTGCCCAAGACTCCATCAGAGGGGGTGCTTTCTGCCCACAGCCACCACTGGCTGACCTACGGGCCCATACCTGGCAGCCCTGGTTTTCTGAGCTCAGATCACCAAGACTCAGCTTGAGAAAGAGGTTCCTTAGGAGGGGACTTACCTAGGGCACAAGCAGGATGAAGCAGGTGGCTGTTAAGCGGTGTGTGGAGTGCCAGATGAGTGGGACAGAAACCTTTTTATAAGGGCTTTAACTGGGGCTAGTGGTTTAGACAGAATGTCCCCGCCCCATGGGAAGGCTTGATTCATCCACACTCAGCCCGGCCCAGCCTCACCTTCCTGCTTGCCCGTTTCACCTGCTGTCTAATTAGCAGGCCCCTCCTTCCACATTCAGTGTCCTCTCCCCACCTCTTCTCTCCCTGGGTCTGTCTCCGCATGATCGGGAGGCTCCCTCCCACCGTGCTAGATCGGCACCAGTGGGGTTCCTGGTGCCATTTTTTCAGCCCTGTGTGATGGCAGACAGTCGTGGGTCACCTTTCTTTTAGCACAAACATTCACGAGCTTACCCATCTATGGAGGCTTATCCTTTTCAAAGCGGTCGCTTTGGGAGGCTATATGTGTTTTTCTGATGATGTCATTCCTTACAACATTCTTGAAATTCTTGTTGTGGAAATTGCCTTTTGTACCAAGTTTACAAGATAGGCAAGAAATCCAGTCTTATTTCTGTATAGTTGGGCCTCATTTTTGATCAAAACAAAGAAAGTTAATACCTCTCCCCGTGACCCCCATCCTATGGGTAGGTAGCATTTTACACCTGGTGGCAAGAGGCTGAAGATAATTATGTCTAACCCTTCATTGTGAAGACGGGGAACTCCGCGGGGCAGCTGACCAGCAGATATTTCTGGAGAGCTTGCTGCCTTTCAGACAGAGCGCTGGGGCCTGAGGAGTCAGTGTTGAGCAGGGTGGCAGTAGCATCACGTCTCAAGGAGTTTACAGCCTGGCAGTCCCGGGAGAAAGCGCCCCGGCGGGCAGCAGTAACGGTAATCACTGTTCGATTCGATTCGATTCGATTTCATTTTCCTTACCATCTCGCTCTGTGGGAGCCTCACGACTGCCCTGTGAGGTGGTACGGCTAAGCCCCTCTTATAAAGAAGGATGCTGAGAACCCTTAGGGAAGTGGCCGTTCCATGAACACAGCCAGCTGCCATGTGTTCTTTTCTCCACGATTTTCGGCACTTTCCAGACATCACATTTGTCCTCTGTGGATGAAGAACAACCATCTTTGAAGATGCTAAGGAGAAAGCCTACGTAGCTCTGAGGTCAGGTCCCAAGCTCCTAAGCCACACTGGCAGGAAGCACACTGGGTGGGGAAAGGTGTCTCCCAGTCCTCACGGACAGGTCACGGAGCACACAGGAAAGGCAAGGACAGGCTGGGCAGGTGCAGGAAGCGCCTTGGTTGTGGTGTCTGGCGTAGCGAGGGCAGCCTGAGCCGTGGCAGGAGTCCCAGGACCGGACCAAGAGCAGGGCTGACGTGCAGACTGCAGGAGGGGCCTCTGCAGGCTTTGTGGCTGGAGAGGTGTGTCTGCACAGGGAGGGGCTGACTCTGGTCCTGGAGTGGGGAGAGGGAGCAGAAGTTGCTATGGTTAGAAGAGGCCAGGACGAGAGGGGGAAGTTAGGGAACAAGAAGGGGCCCAACAGATTAGACCTCCCCACTGTGAGTGTGCTGAAGGGGCTCAGAACTTCCAGAAAGATTTGGGATCTAAGGGAAAGTAATTTAGGGAAGTGATATGCCAGGTGCTTTATCTGTGAGGTAACTATGAGGTACGTTCTCATTACATCCAATTTCCAGATGAAGACACTGAGGTACTGAGCCGTTAAGTAAATTACGCAAGGTCACATACCTAGAAAGTGACACGCTGACTTTGAACTTAGGTCCGCCTGCCTCCAAAGTCTATGTCCCCTGAGCCCGTGGGTGGGGTGCTGTGAAGAGCATCGGGTGAAGGGAGGTTGGCTGGAGTGGGTGGGTGGCTGGGGCTGGGGACGTGAGGAGGTGGGAGAGTTGGGGACCAACAGGCTTTAATTGAGGTCATAAATTTGTTAGTTTGGAAATTTTTGAGGAGTTGTTACTAATGTTACAAATGAATGACTTTACTGAGTACTCGCATCTCACGGGTGTGCAGGAGGCAGGGGGAGGCCAGGGACCCTATCAGAAGTTGGGGCAGACTCTTATCCTCTGCTCACTCGGCCTTGGAGTAAACAGAAAAATCTCAAAGAAACAAACTCAACTTTTTTAAAAAAATTTTTAAAACATTTTTTAATTGAATAATAGTCATTTTACAATATTGTGTCAAATTCCAGTGTAGAGCACAATTTTTTCAGTTATACATGAACATACATACATTCACTGTCACGTTATTTTTGCTTGTGACTACCACAAGATCTTGTATATATTTCCCTGTGCTGTACAGTATAATCTTGTTTATCTATTCTACATTTTGAAATCCCAGTCTGTCCCTTCTCACCCCCGCCCCCTTGGCAACCCCAAGTTTGTATTCTGTGTCTGTGAGTCTGAAACACACTCACTTTTGGACTTTGATTTCTTCTTACACGTTTACTCAGAAATTCACTGCTGCCTCCACCTGACTGATTCCTCCAAGTATCTGACAGCCGGTACTCGCCACACATAGTGGGCTGCAAATGGAGAATAGGGGTTTACTTTCCAGGAAACCAGTCTAATTGGGAAACAGGCCACGCACACCCAAAATAATTACTTAATAATGGAAGACAAAATTTTACATGTTAAATAAGAGAGCTTGCTAACCAGATACCTTCACCTCCACCCAGGAGCACAGAAAGGTGATAAGGGGCAGGGGCCGGGCAGTGGGGAGTGATTAGACAGTGGCCGTTCAAGTCTCCCTCCAAAAAAGCAGAAGATGGGAAAATTCCATAATCCTGGGCTTCACCCTTAGAAAAGAGCAAAAACAAGTCTAGAGGCGGAGGGCACAGCTCAGTGGTGGAGCACATGCCAGCATGCACGAGGTCCTGGGCTCGATCCCCAGCGCCTCCAACAAAAATAAATCATAATAAAAACAAATAAATAAATAAACCTAATTACCTCCCCCTTCCAAAACAAAACAAAACAAAACAGTCTAAAAACCAGAGAGCTGTTGCCTAAAATTGCTTGAAGTTACTTGGGTGTTGAGAGAATTGACCTGTCCATTCACAGCCCACACACCCTGACTGAGGGACAGGGTGACGGGTATGGTTCTTAGAGCGAAGAAAGAACAGTGGACAGTTCTGGGCCTCCTTGTCCTCTGTCTTCCCCAACTAGAGCCTCTTCGCCTAAAACCACCCTACCTGGGCCCTGGTCAGAGCAGCAGGGAAGCACCCAGATGCCCAAGTTCAGTCCCAGAAATAGCAGGAAGAATTAGGCAGATACCAGAGACGTCCCTCCTGACACACTTTCCAGTGACTTAGTACCTGTTAGACATCCTCAGCCTAAACCCTGACCTGACAGGTTTTGTTGGTCCCGCTGTTTCTCCGAGTCCCTATTCAGGCAGGGAGCATGTGGCTAACACCATCACTGGCATCCTTGGTTTGGTCAGGAAAGCTGGAAGATGCTGCTTGAAAGGGAATCTGAATGCTCGATCTAGGTGTCCAACCCACAGGCAGCGTTCCTAGAACAAGCAAACGAAAGGTTCCAACCCCCTTCTCATTTGGAAAAAGAAGAAATATTGTGGGAGGAGAAGGAGTTCTTCTTTTTCCTGTTTCACCAGCGCTCAGAACTCTACAAAGTCCCAGTGGTATCAAAGAGTTTGTTGACTTAAATGTAAAGATAGCAGGCATTTCCCACCATGCGCTCATTCCTATCATAAACATTGGCCAAAATTATGGACCTGTCAGTTCCCACACAACCCAAGTTCGTGCTGCCCTCTTGCCGTCCTGCAAGGCTTCTTCCTGTCTTGAATGCATTCCTCTCCATCTCCTCCATGCAGATGGCTTCCATCCATTCAGAGCAAGTCAAACACCACTGATTCTCCCAACCTGATGAGGTCTCCCTTAAACATACAGCTTGCCCTCAATAATCTTTTGTTGGTGCATCTTTTACAGAATTTATTTTCCTCCACTGTCATTCTCATTGCTTATCCGTTTGTCATCCTTTCTTGATTTTTCCCCTCTTTGAGGACAAGGCTGGTTTGTAGGTAGGTGTGTGATGACTTGATACAGAAGCCCTGTCCATTCTTCAGGAGAACACGGCTTTTGCCCGAAACCATGAGGGCTGAGTGATGTGACCCCCACACCATGCCTGGCCCCGTATTCCGTCTCACTGGAGCTGCCTTCATTCCTGTGCTCGTGGGGTTGGAGTGGGATCTCAGCATCCAAGGCTGGGGGACCCCAGGACCAAACTGGGGAAAGCGCCACTGCAGGTCTGTTCAGGATGGACTAGCTCTGGGCTGGTCTCCCTACAAACCCCACAAACCTGTCTGTCCTGTGGTCTCCTCTAGGGTTGTCAGCTTTTAGCTATTTCCTCCTTCATCGATCAAAGCACCCATCCCTCCCAGTGAGTCAGGATTGAAAGGTGATGACAGGGTGTTCTGAGCACACTGAGTGACAAAGGAACACGGAGGGTGTGCAAAGGTGAAAGCCAATAAATGAGGAGTTACTTTGGGGGCTTGGAATACTGTCCTTATTTACTGAGAAGAGGGCGAGATGCAGCGTGCTGTGGGCTGCTGGGGTCATTCTGGGGGCCACTGGTTACAAATGGAAGTGCACACATTCATTGTCTTCAGACCTCTTGAAGTTAGGAAGTCAAGAAGGCGCACAGACATGGCTCTTATCCTCAGGGGTAGAAAGAGACCAGCACAGCTCCCCACGTCCCTGGCTCCAGGGCTCTGAAGAAGTCCCGTAACCCCTGTGAGCCTCAGTTCCCTTCTCTGTAAAATAGTGATAAGCTCTCCTTCTGCCAGGGGGTCATGATCAGGGTAAAAATCGCAGTGGGTGTGAACGGGCGTGGTAAACTGAGGAACACCACGGCGTGGTTAGGGTGTTACTGCTGTTGTTTACATATACTACGAAGTAGTCCTTTTAAATACAGAGAAGAGGAATGTATGCACAGAAAAATTAATGTTCAAATGAATCCCTCATTCTACCCTTTAAGAAGCACCAATCTATGAATAACAAATAACACACATGCCTTGGAAA